ATATACTCAGTTGAGAAAATAAGACCAGGATGGGAATGGAGAAGGCCAGGACTGAGTCTCGGAAGACTACGAAAAAGGGACCTAGCAGAGTGGACTTTAAGGACTTGTGACGTGTTGGAGGTTGCGATTGGGAATCACAATGAAAATCAGCCCTATGAAATCCAAAATGCCATTTTTTTATATTCTGAAAGAACACTGGTTAAAATTTCATTAAAAGGCACATAGAAAGAGTGCAGCCTAACCGTAAAATTTTGTGCCATGTATGCTCCCCTTTAACGTACCGTTGAATAGTAGGGCAATACTTCTACAATAATTATGGATTAAAATGTGAATTTCCTTACTTCCTTTCCTTTGTCATACATTATAACTCATCGATAATAATTGCAAGTAACTTTACTTCTTCCTTAAGAAATCACTGCATTGGCGTTGGAAGCTGTTTCGCAAAAGTTCACTTACTTAATTACCATACGATTCAACATGGGATCTTCGTCAATTCTGGGTAAAGCAGCTCAAAACTAACCCTGACATCCGCAAACAGTAGAGCAGTGGAAGCATTTTTCAGAGCTTTAGCTAGTCCGATTGGAGCTGACGTTTTAGGTGAAGGAATTTATGGCCTAATGCGAAAAGCTGCCTGTGATCGACATTAATTAGTGAAAATACACGGATTATATTAGAGCTACAAACACAATTTGAAGGCCATAATTTAATTCCTGTTTTTCGCTTTGTTGTAATGTGTCGAAAACAAAAGTAATTAAGTTGTAAATATGAGCCTTACTATGATACTATCGAGCTGATGGATGAGCCAAGGGACGAATCCTAATGGAACTTCCATTAGGTGATGCGTGTTAGTGGTCATCAAGTTTTGGAGTTGTTTTCAAGATAATTCATTTTTTAATCCAATTTCCTCCACAAAGGGAAGTGCTAAACACAAATATGTAATTTAAAACAAGCATTTTAATCAACGTGACAGAATAGTGCATTTTAGAATCGCGGTTAACTCCAGGGAATTAAAAGAACGTGGAATTCATGGATCAGTTCTTTACAACTTCTACCATTTATTCGAAATAATATCAACCGCTTCACAATGTTTATTCAGGCGTGTGTAAGTAATTTTATAATTTAGTGAAATCACAAAATACAAAGAAATGGCGCGACGAAAATTCCATAACCGCATCCTGTCGTTCACACCTACGAGGAGTATTTTGCCCTTGTTTAATTACTTAAGGTTTCATCTACTCCATCTTGATTTGCGTCCCAATTTTAGCCGAAGGATTAAACAAAAACTGTAAAGCACACTCCAAAGGCGGTGCAGTTATTAAGCATCAACTATGTCATTCACCGTCGAATAACACCTTTGAGGGAAATTTTCGTCCAACGTGGATGACCAAGGATCAGTGTTCGAAGGGGAGTCCGCGGCCAAATGAACGCTTTCCCCGCTACCTTCTCTGCTCCTCCCTTCTAAGTACACGATCTTGTTCAGCTCAGAGAAGTAGTAAAACAGCTGATTAAAGTTTGTTAAAAAGCTACAGTAATAAAGTTTCCTAACTAGAGTTGGTGAAGCGTAAATATTGCTTTATCCAAACGTGTGCACGCTTGATGCTGCTAGTTCGCCCTCTTGACCAGTCTCATTTTCCGGCGGCTCTTGAAAGGATTGAGGCGTTGAATGCGATCATGAGCGCACAAGCAACAATTTTAAGCGCTTTGATTTCTCTCAAGATTATTGTAGCTTAAGAAAACGAATTCCATAAAAGCAAACCTTTTAGCACTGATATGGGGCAGCTTCAAGAAAATGACGCTTAGGCATCTCCTTCTTAGGCACCATAGTCCGCATCGAATGTTTTCAGAGAATTTTGGCTTGCGACTGATCGCATATGCATTCTAGTTTAAACGAATTATTTTGCTCTTTAACGTGACCACGCAACTTGAGAGAACTGGTGCTTAAAAGAACAACTGAAATTTAAAAAATATCGCGCGAAAATGTGGACATTGGTATTTGAAAATTGTTAATTTCGGTAAACGTGGTGACATTAAAACGACGCTTTGTGGAACCTGCAACTGAGATCATATGCAACAATACAACAGCAGTTTTAGATAGTATCGCGGCCTTTTGTTGGCGATGGCGAGTTTTATTGTCAAAAATTTTATTTTTTGATACGAACAAAGGCTGAATTTCGAATTTTGAATTTTGTGACTTGAGCAATCTACAATATTCCGTTGCTTTTCCACGGAGCATTAAAAGACTTGAGTGACAAGGAACCTGCACATATTCCAGAAACTGTAACTTCAGCGCCTTTACCCTTTCAAAAAAATGAAGACCAACGAATTTTTAACGAAATGAGGGGTAGGGCGGCTAACGTTGCGTCAAAAAATTTCAGTTTTAAGTCCAAAAGTATTTAGGGTTGCAAAGACTTCTAGGAATTAGTTAGCTGTTTATCGGTTACTGGAGAAGTTCCAGTCTGACGTTTGACTTACGCTAGATCAGAACAAGCGAATAAGAATTGTTTTAGCAAAATATACTTGGAGGTGCGTTGGCAAGGAATTGCCTTTCCTCGTTTGCATCGCACAGCAGAAATGAAATAACTTTAGCAAGAAATTGATATGTTTGATTAGGTGCCAAGCAACTGCGGTTTTTTACATTATGTGGCTGCGCCTCCATTAGAACCAAAACACCGCTTTCCAAGCATAACGAGCCGTAAGTGCATTTAGTTAGCTGCCATAGCCACTGCGCTTGATGCACATAAAGAGGTTATAAAAGTATTTAGATTTCAGATGTAGATTGGCAGTACATATTAATGTCTAAAAAATAAAATAGCCGCTCCTTTCGCACAAGCGTGTTAAGCACCTAGAGCATCAAGATATGCTGCGTTTTTTCCTTATTTTAAAACACATTCTCGGATTTTCATAACTGATAGGTAACAAGGTAAAATGAGAATTCAAGGATTTTGCGTAATAATGTGTTCTAGTTAAGGGACATTCAGAAAAAGTTGTGCCGCAGGGTACGACAAGGATCAATCAAGCAATGGAGGGCAGAGCGAAATGAATAACAATGAGGCACATCATAGGTACAGTTTTATTCAACTCACGATAGGCTCATAAACTGCAATGATCTGTACAGCCTTGCTAGTGACACATTGATCAGTTTGTTCTCGCTCAGGCGGCTCGGATGATGTATCAAAAAATTGTGTCCGTGTAAATTTTGGAATTTCGAGAAGCTCTCGAGGCGAGAGTTTGCTGTCCGTCTGGGCTGTGCAGATACAGCCCTCGCTCTCACGAACTAATTCTCCTGGAATGTAGCTGTTTCTTGTGGTGATGACTGATGCTAGCGTTAGTCGACTGTTGTAGCCTATCAGAGGTACGGCGTAGAAGAGACAAACAGCAAAATACATCACTATTGAGGGAACTCGGGAGAGGACTCGGGTTTCGTTCAAAGAAATGGATAAAATCCATAGGCAAACGGCGAATACAGCAAGGAGAGAGCAGATTAATTGAAATCCCGTAACAATCGTCGACGAAAATAGGGCTACCGCAGTCGCACCAGCTCCATTGGAAATGGTTGGATTTAGAGTGGACTGAGAGCTATCTGTTGGACTTGTTCTCACTTTCGAATATTCATGTTGACAAGCGTAACTGGGCACAACTCGAGATAAGGATGGCAAATGCAATCGATGTCCCTGAAACTTCCACATTCGAGTGCCGATTGTGATCACTGCAAAAAGCACGGGCAATACAGATGTCAGTGCTCTTAAAAGTTGACTCTTATCGTGTGGTAATTTAATCTCGGACGGCGTTTCGTGCAAAAATATCAGCTGCAGAGTATTCAGTGCAATTCCGCACACCCACGGAACACAATGGGCCAGAAAGGAGAGAAAGACCGAGTTTCTTTGACTTTTAAATACGCCTGACCATGACTCTCTTCTGTTCACCCCAGGTTTTAAAATGCGCAAAAACATAATTAAAAGTGTGTTTATAAAACCAACGAAGAGCCAAAAGACGGATGTGCAAATATCGAGCACTGAGATGGCAATGTTACAGAAATTGCTCATTTGGTGGGGAGACAGGCTTGCGAAGGATACAGTTCCTCTAGATGTGGCCTGTAAGAAAAGAAATGCAAGCGAACATGCAGTAGCATGTATGTTAAGTCCGAAAATAAGGCTACACTTAACAGCAAAGGCTCCCCTTTGAGGATGCGTCCGATTTCTCCACCGCTTACTGCATAGGAGAGTCAGCCAGATGCTTGATATTGGGCCAAATAGTAGTCCACCACAGGTAAAGGCAATAAATTCGTAAAGAGGCCGCAATGGGAGAACCTGAAGACGAGTACAGGAGCGCAACGGTGGTCCACCTTTGCGTATAAAGTCGTGATTTTGCTTTATTGGAATGGGACTCTGAGACATATCAGCAGCCGGCTGTTCCAATAACGGAGCGTCAGCAGGCAGATGCCAGTAAGAGGTGAAGTTTTCACCTGAGGTGGAATTTGCAAATGTCGTGTCATTGTACGAGCTTTGTTCAATTTTCCCATGGTGATAGAGGGTAGTATCATCATTGGACAGCAATCGGTTTATGTCACTCTCGATGCCCCACCTGCTCTGCTCCGACTGACAGTGATGAGGCTCTGAGCAGAGTAGAAGTAAGAAAGGAAGAAAAAAGTTGGGTGGATGGAAAATACGATGTAGCATTATTTTTCTACATGTCGTAATGTAAACATTGCGCGTAATCTGACGCGTGATGCTAGCGCACTCATCCTGGGTAGTCAGATGCCTTCCAACTGGACCAACCATGCTGACCCAGTTATCTCGACCAATCAAAACATTTCTGGAAGTGAAAATTGGCAAAGCTATTAATCAAATGTGAAATCTTTATCAAGAAATGTCCCTTGAAATACTATGTCGCCTTTTAAGGTTTAACTTTTCATTCTAAGCTTACTTTGCTTAAAAACTTCGAAAATATTCAGAAAAAATCACAAATTAGTATTTTTAGTACTTTAAGCTTAGCCTAAGCATCAAAAGTCGCAATTCACAATGTCCTCTAGAAAGATAAGGTAGCCATTTTCAGCAAGTGATATTTATACTTATTACTAAAGGCTAATCGCTTGAAGTCATAGAATCGCGGTAGTAGCAAAAACGGAACTTCAAAGATGCTTTAGTTGGCAAGTGCTTTATAGGATCTACGTCAAGTTGGTTTGATCACGCAATCTGCAAAACAAAGCGTCGTGGACTCTTAAGCCAAACAGTAAAGTTTGGAGCCGTAAAACAAACTAATACGCCTACTAAGGAAAGTTTGGCACCTTATAACCTAAAACAAATTGATTTGTAGGAATTTCGTTAAATAAGGGTGGTTCAACACCAGTGCACGTAAAAAAGGGGATTTCATCTATTCCCCAGCTAAATAATTGCCATGTTGTGTCCAAATTGTCTGCGTATAATAAGTACTGGAACTAATAACCGGATGTAAACTTACAAAAGAATTTGTTTATAAGCAGGGACAGAGTTATTAAGAAGTAAAGCTTGTTTGTGGTAAATTAGAAAGGGAGACCTGACGGTGTCATTGCGAACATGTTTTTAGTGGGAAGGACTTAAAGTTCATGAAAGGGTGCACAATAAATCTGTTTACATATTTCTGCTGCCGCGTTGGGGAAAAATGAATAGCCACAGTAGTCTACATATTTCACGCCTAATGGGTCGTCCACCCGCAGCAATCACCACGTTGCAGTGGGTTGCCACCCTTTGAGATAGAATTACTCAGCCAACACATTTCATCCCCCATTCAGTATGAATAAAGGATGGGCAAATGTTTAAAAACAATTTTGTCTACAATAAATTAGAGCAACCAAAATGCTTTCAAAACCTGGAGGCAGCCAACTCAGCGCGATTAATTTCTCTTCGATAGTCTACACTGGAGACGAAATTGTTCAAAAGAACTGGTATTAACAAACGCAGTAATGGTGTTACGGAAAACCGTGCAACTCCTCGAGACCAGGTCAAAAGTCAGTCAAATCTATGCGACTTTAAAGTTCATCAAATCGTCACCTTCCTCTTCATACAATGCATAGCAAGTTTTAGCGCGCCTCTGCAACCATAGTTACCACCTCAATTAACATTGCCAAAGGGCACATGCATTCCACCCATCCTTGTGCCTCGATTTCACATAAATTAAAAGCACAAATCACTTAAAAAAGAATCCTCGACCCAAATAGGTCCGCCGTGGTTTCCGACCTATGATCTCTTAAAATCTTATCTAGCCAAGTACCACCTTCACATTTGGAAGTACTGCCAATAAGCGGAAAACAACTTCAATTGTGAGCTTGAAATTCACAACCTGTACACTTCATTTAGTATAGAATTCCAAACAAGATTTCATGCACAATTGCTAACCAAATAAAGGAACATGTGAAATTCATACCTTGTCAGACGCAACGGATGTTGTACAAACATAGTGAACAATTTTGACATTTTGATATATTTCCTCCAATTACTGGCAAAAAACGTTCACCTACCCTAAGTTAACCTAACAGTTCCTTCAAACAAGAGATGCAGAACTTTTGCACCCTTACACACTGTTGATCCAATCAGTTCCTTCACGAAAATGTTTTATGCTGGTTGCATGTCCACTTCCTTCAAAATGGTCCAAACCAATCGATGTCCGAATTTCTACAGTTTTATGCACTTTAAACCTTTTTAAACGTCTAGGTCCATTCCATGTAAGTTAGATTACGATGGACTGCTTAATGGACGTAAAGTTTCACATGCTTGGCTGAACCCTATTCCATCACGGTTATTTTATCAAAAGATCTCAATGTCAAAGAATAGTGCACAAGTTGTGCGGATTACCAATAAGTGCCAGCATAAATTGCGAATAAGGTTTTCCTGTTTGCTGAATGGGTCCAAATGCGCGAAACGCCACCATGGGTGCGAGGAGAAAGAAGTCAGCGTTGAAGCGGATACATGAACACTTAAAAGGTAGAAGAGTGGTAGTTTCGTTAGTACTAATGTTTATGGGCAAATTTTGTGCCCCGTTTACAAAAGCCTCACTATAATGCTGCGTAATTCACAAAAAATAGCGCCAACAACTAATGTTAACCATGCTCTTTTTCCCAGTAAAGCTCTTTGTTTAAAGAAACCAAGTGTACACCTTCGTATAGTTGCATGCCAAAGAATAGAGCTTTTTACGCTTCAGACTGAACATTAAAAATCCTGTTTGCAGCTCCTCATATCTTGTGCAATCGCCTCGTAAGTGAAGCATCTCAGGTGTTCTGTGTCATCAAGATCAGGCAGCTGTCAACATATCTGTCATTTTAAGTGATACGAAGAGGCGAGTTTTCCTAGCTCCAAACTTTAGTTGAAACACATCTTGAAACCTTCCATACAATCCTTTCATTAAGAAGACATAATCATTAAGAGCAGTCGGCGTTATGACGCAGCACTAAAAAGTGACATCGGTCCTCCTACACGAGATAATTGACTTCAACTTATAATAATGAAGCTATGAGGTGGAAGAGAAACAAGTCTTAAGGCGAGATGTGTCAGTGACGCATTGTCAGTACCTGAGGCCTTGTTTACGCTTTGAGAGATGACACTGCTATTACTTACCATAGCCTGTATATAGTGAGTCTCGATGCTTCGGCACCTCGAAAAGATTTGTTTTTATTCAACGCTACAACTAGAAATAAAAGTAAAAACTCAAAAAGTACTTAGTCCTTCGGGGATTCGGCTTACTAATAAACTAGCTGTTTACCATTAATAGCTATATCATACCATGTGTTATATTAATATTGCAAATGAGATTCTATGGTTAGTCCAACTTAAGCACTAGTTAATTCTGTCTTACCCAGCTTCGTAAATGCCAACATTGAGGGCAAAACTTGAGACGCATCAGGAGGCCCTGTCAAACTACCAGTCGGGTAGTCACCCGGTTGGAACTTATTCGCTAGTAAAATGATTTACAAGTCTTGCCTAGAACTGCGAACCTTCCAGCTAGTTAACTGTCAAAGCACTTGACTTAATGAGGTGAGTTGGTAACTTAGGGACCACCCAAGCCCAAGAGTTGCTCAAACAGTTTCATAAGCATTTATAATGTGCACGAAGTCCTGTTTTACGCTCCAGATGAAAGCAAAATACATTCTCATATTTTTGGCAGAAAGGTCCCATATTTTTGACGCTCATGAAACGAGTTTTGGGACTAAAAGCATGATTCAGTGGATTATGAAATACAGTGGCCATGAATAACTGAATGTTTTTATCCCAGCACATGCGTTTTTACTTGCCTCTGCTATGTCGCCCCATGAATAAGTCACAAGTTTAGAACTAGACACTTCACTGTCACTGACTAAAATTTAACGATGTCGTTAAAATGAATTTCTGCCCATTGTTTGTGAGCAACGCCTGAAGCATTACTTCCCGGTTTCCCTCCATAGCTCCGGTGCATATTCAGTTAAATTAACGAGTTCATTCATCATAAGAGCCTTTCCGAGAATAATGCTTTGTTGAGTATAGTTTTGGTTTGCTTCCAGCAGAAGTTCCACCGTAATTTACTCAACTGAACAAAGGGAGTTATTAAAGTAGTTCAGTAAAAGGAAAGTTCTAATAACGGGAGAAATTACAAAATCATTCTTCCCCGGTAAATTATTGTTCAGTTTTTGTTATATCTCGGTTTCGCGAGTCATCGCTGTTATTCCCAAAGGTCCTTCCTCTTTGCACACCCTTTTAAAAGCCGACCCAACGAAATTGTTGCCAATGGCTTGCATTGTTGTGGGTTTTCTAATCAAATTGTACAGCCGAGAAGGCGACTCCGGAAAGAGAACGATCTGCAATGCATTCGTTGTTGTTGAAACATATTGCCCAAAATCTCAGGCAAATTGCTGCCTTAACGCAGCAGACAGGCGACTGACCTTATGAAGCCCAGAATTAATGAAACATTTGTTAACGGGATTAATACTGACACAAATCCGGATTGGAATTACCCATCTAAGTCAGGGTGTTTTTTTCTGGCCGTAATTAGTAATGATTGCAACCGTTTTAAACGTTTTCTTGGGATTTGTAATCGTGGAAAAAGAAATGATGCTTGCTGACATTTGTGTTCATACAGCCAGGCATCCGATTTATGCTGTCGTTGTAATACACCACCTATTTTTCGATTTCTCTATTTTTGGGATCGAACCACTCATGTTCTCCTTTGAGCTATACCTTAAGCTATATGTATAACGAGGTTCTATTCGAGCATTTTGTGTCCTTTTATCCATTTAAAGGTTTAAGGAGTAAGTTGTATGACCAAGAGACTAGTGTCATCATAAATTGTTTGACTTACCTTGGAGTATGTTTGCAGCAAGTGAGCGGATAGAAAGGTGACCTCCCTTTCAGAGGTCCCCAATTTAATCAAAAAACTTACGTGAGAAATCTTAGAGAGTGGGTAAGACCTTACGTTTAATGTAGTTTTAAGGTTATTTTGTGCTGGTTTAAGTGGCTGCGCTGTTTAAAAGGGCTTTCCAAGGCCCGTAGATCAGCCATCCAACTTTATAAATGCGCGAACTTACCATACGGCATATGAAAGAACACAGGATTAGCATTGCTTGTAGGTCCTCCATTCATTCATAATTTGCCCAACACAAACAACGCAGTCTTATTACAAAGAAGTCGACCTACTTCTGAAACCAGTGATGGTGGTTAGGCGGCCCAACTAACTTGAGTTTTCAAAATTACTTCACATTGGCTAAATTAAAGGCATCTCATGGGATCAAACAAAGTCAGGGGGTTAATACGACCGAGCGGATTTGCGTTACTGGTATAAACACAACACAGACGCATAAAACTGCGATTTATTCTGAATTCGTTTACATGATGCCCGACACTGTAGAATCAATTACATAGTTAATTAATTAGTGCTGTTTGTTCCAGCAAACTTCCCGTCAACTGGGGATAGCTGGCAACTTTTACCTAAAATGGTATTTTCTCTAAAACCCTGGCGATGCCTCTCATTAAGCGGCAGCATAACCAAAAGATCGTACATTAGCGCTAAATTTCTCTTGAAAACGCACATTACATAGATGTTAGTCTGAAGTCTTGGAAATGCACACTACAAATGCTGAGGGATTAATTCATTGGCCAAAATTCAGCCTCAACTGTCGAAAGCTACGTTGATAAGTGTATGCCCCTAAGGGCAGCAAAAACATTCACGAAGCACTAAATTATCTCTCCGATCTACTTATACATGGGGTAACTAAAACCAGGTAAGAAGTTCAGTGGTCCTTTGGTATTTCACTCGACATCACCCTAGGCATAGCATCAGTTAGGCCACATGAGGGTGGGCTATGACCTCTCCCACTTCAAACGGAAGCCAATCAAAAATACACCCTCTTTAAATAAACTAGTTCCATTCCAACCTATATTCCTTTGGAACATACAAACAAGTTGAGTCAGGGTATGTTTCATTGTGTGACGATAAATGGAGGGGTTGCCGATGGTGTTCGATCCGTCATAGCCTTGTAGTTCCTTGAAGGACTCTCGTCTAACAGGGATATTAAAACAAATCCAAATCCCAATGATGACTACATTATTACTTAATTTAGCTCTGCTTTCAAAATGTGTGCCCTATCGAGAGCAAAAATAGTATATTAATTGAATCGACAAAATTCAAGCTACTCAACCTTTCCACAGTGCCTTTGCTCATAGCACTCCTTATTTTCTAATGAACAATTTAGAAGCAGTGAATTCTCTTGCAGACAGTAAGGTGGTAGATCAAAGATTAGTGGACACACATTTTACGGCCTTCATGGTTTGGAATTGGAAGTGCTTGGCTCATCCCCTATCTTTACCCCAACTGCTTAAAACTATACGCATGGTTTTAAGCAGTGGCATCAAAGTGCCCACTAAAGTGTTCATTTAGTATACTACTTGCTAACGACCGCCTAAATCATGCCCTTTTTTGCCCACTAGACAATTCCAAATTCATTTTCACATGAGCAGAAGCCAAAGCAAAATGGATCCTCTGCACTAAGGACGCAATCTCTCTTGGTTTCGTATCGTTAAATCCACGCATCTTCCTACACATTTGTACTTGTGCGTGGGAATGAAGTTACCATAAATACCACAACCGATTGTTCTGAAATATGCTGCGTTAAAAAAACAGATCATTTGTGCAGTTCTTTACGATTCGTCCATTTGTTACCAACTCTGCATTTTTGAGGTGCAACATAAGAAATGGAAAGTTATTTGAAAGACTGCTTTGCAGCATAGCTGCCCTTATTTTGTTTCGGTACCTGTTTCGGGTCAGTTCGCATAAATGTTCAGCAAAAACTCAGCTATAATAATGCCCCAAAATAAGTAATTTGCATTGAGAGATAACGAGAGCACGTGACATAAGTAAATTCCAACAAAACGAGCATTTTAAGCGTTCTTTTTTGTGCTGGATGCTTCGACATCCATTCATAAATTATGGTTGAGAGTTAGCTCACAATTTTGCGTGCCTCTGGAGGTTGATCATCTGTACTAAGATAAAAATGAGAAAACTTGGGCTTCCTTTCGGAGTTTAGAAAATGACGGTACAAGATCTTTACTGATAAACAATTCGAAAAATATCGCTTCCTAGTGAAACCTACACTCTGGATTTTCATCTTCCATTGTCCTAATCCTTTTTCCAATGAATTAACGGCTACAACCTAAGGGTTGGAGTCGAAGGTTCTTTAAAATCGCCACATTTTACTCTCTATCACGATTCCCTTTGCTAGGTTTATCCTCATTTTCTTCGCACTATTTGCTAAAATCGGATTAGCAGACCTATACAGTCTGTTACAAGCTATGCTAAATAGCTCTTCCACTTTGCATAAAATACGGTGAACACAATGAGTAGAGGGAGGGCATTTTAATGCCTGAAGAGGCTCTGACGAACATCAAAATAAACACTTAATGCAAATTTTGCAGAAACTGGGTAAAATACAAAATGCCAATAGGTCTAAGAATAAGTAAATACTTAGTCTTGACATATGAAGGTGCAAAATAAAAGGTAACACACGAAAAGGAAGAAAGTTGATTTTGCCTTGCGATACAGACACTGTTTTACAATTTGAAATGCTCTAAACATTAGAACAGACTAGCAACATATGCATATACGACCCTCTGGACTGTAATTTGCTGTATTCGTGATAACACTGAATTAATGGACTGTTCCTTAACTGCGGCAGCACGATTGCCTGGAAAGTTCCCTAGACCTTCACTGTTATTTAGATGAAGTCCACGCATCACTAAAAGACAAGACGGTGGTACGCTGTTGAAGGTCTCTCCCATGTTGTTCTATTTTACTACAGAGATTCTGGGCGCGAATCAAGTTACTCACTCAACCTCAACGATTTCACATACGAAAGCCCTTTTGCTGCTTTATATTCATCGTTGTTACTTAAAATATGCTCAAAAGGCAAAGAAAATACTATTGCATTATTGCAAACTTGTACTGTGAGTCGATATAGTAGGACCTCAAGCTTTAATAAGCAGAAGTCCATTATTTTTACGCATTACGAAGAGTTTGTGGTCCCGAAATTTTCTGATTCATCGGTTCACCACATAGGGATTTAAATATGTCAAATCTTTGCTAATCATCTTAATGAAATGGAATCGTTTCCTTCATAGCAAACGCTAAAAGCACAAGAGTATGAAGGACTGACTGGAAGCTGCCGTATAAGTCACTTTCTGAAAAGGTTTTCATTGCACAAATTAATTTTTCAAGCGCCGAAGTGTTTACTGCTCGTCAATAGTTATTGGAAGTGCAAAATTTCAACAGAAATTGGGAAATAGATCAACCAACCATCCTTAGCTACATCGTTCGTGCCTTTTGAAAGCAATTACATGGTTCAATTCACGTGAATGCATAGCGTCGAATCCTTTAAAAAGTAAGTATAAAAGCTATCAGTTTACAACAAGTACAATGCTACTGAAATTTATCAGTAGCGTAGAAAACAAAATTTTCGACTAGTTACCATTACAATTCCTCTGAGAAACCTCAAAATGCCAGCCACCCTCAAATGTGAATAACTCATGTTTGCAACTACACAATACAGATGGTAAAATTAGCCGACGAATACCCCACCTTCTCCACTCATCTTTGACTACACGCCCACCCGAAAACTGCTCAACGCCAATTGAGGGATAGTAGAGCTACAACAGTCCGCCCTTTGCCTACCAACGCACCCACCTACTATCCTACAGCCTCTGTATCAGGCACCAATCCAAAACAGTAACTTCACTATCCCCTTATGTAGGCGACACCCCGCAGCTAAGAAGGGAAGCATTTCATCCAACTTCAACATCATGACTAGCGAGAGGTCCACAGTCTCGTAGAGCAGAACACCCTTAACATTGTCACTATTTACCAGAAAGCAAGCCTATTCGACGAGAAGCAGATTTAACCAAATTAAGCGCCACTAAGGAAAGAACAATGCGGTAATTTTTGAAGCCAGTTTTGTAATAGAGTGCATAAACAGATCATGAGTGTAAATTTACAGTGACAACATAAAACAGAAATGCTTCTGAATCCCACGAACTTCTACAACTCCTCCTTTACATCCGTCGACTCCATCTAAAAACAAAGGATGATTGGGACAACATTTTCCTAAAACACCATAGGCCTCGGAGAGTGCATGACAAATATCGCAAGATTCAATGCCCACTTTCCATTCACAATGTTTAGCAAAGGCAACTGAAACTACATTTAAAAATTGCTTTTTGGTTATGTTTTAGTGAGAACTTTCACAAAACATCATAATTTGTGATGATTTTAATGAAACACTCACCTCAGTTGCATTGTTACCATCTGATTCCGAAGGAATGCTTTCATCAGGTTCAACTTGTTCATCCGGATCCACATCCAAGTTTTTGCGCAATTCACGCTCAATGCGTTCAGCGAAGCCGCTGAGGTCTTGCATAATGTATCCAGATCGGAGAACAGCTGTGTCAAATAGAAGGAGGGTGTTCTCCTTAGCAACTTCATCATCGGGATCAATCTGGATGACTTCATTCAGCTTCTTTATAAGGGGATGACGCGGATTGATCTCTAGTGTATGCTTCTGATTGAGATAGTAAGAGTTGGTAGCCGAATCAGAGGAGGCGTAGGCCTGGGCCAATATCACCTTTTGGAAGTTGCCAGACACCATATACTCATCAGCCACCAACGCACACGGGCTGCTCTCAAGCCGCTGGGAAATCTTAGCATCCTTGATTTTACCAGGCAAGCCCTTATCCTTCAGCCAGTCTGTCAACGGCTTAAATAGCTTTTCTTGAGCTTCGAGTTTATCCTTATCAAGTTTCAAGTCAAGGCCTGCTTTGGCTAGATTTTGAGTCTTTTTGCCCATTACCTCGTGCAGAGACTGCATTACATACTCATCCATTGGCTCTGTGAAGTAAATAACCTCAAGTCCCAATCTCTTGATACGTTCTACGAAGAGAGAAGTCTTCACCTCATCAATGTTTTGTCCGGCAACATAAAATATGTGCTCCTGACCTTCCTTCATTCTAGAAATGTACTTGCTGAATGAGGTCAATTTGTCTTCTGACTTCGAAGTGTAGAATCGCAAAAGCTCTGTCAATCGGGCCTTGTTGGGGGCGTCTTGCAGGACACCCAACTTAATCGCAACGGAATATGCTTTCCAAAACTTCTCATAGTCCTCGTCCGACATTTTTTGAAGCATTTCAATGACTTTGCGAACAAGCTTCTTCTTAATCAACTTCAACAGTTTGTGTTGTTGGAGCATTTCGCGGGAAACATTCAGCGGGAGATTGTCGCTATCAACAATGCCATAAACAAAGCCTAAATAACGAGGGAGCATCTCGTCCACATTTTCTGTGATAAACACCTTCCGAACGTATAACTAAACAAGATTAACGAGCAAAAATAAACGCACCTTTATATTATCCGTAATTAACTTGTCTGATTGGAAAAGGTCGGGTCGAGGCACTGGACTGATAAATAAAATGGCGTTGAATGACACTTCGCCCTCAGCAGAAAAATGGATATGTGCCAAAGGACTCTCGTTCGAATGAGACAACACTTTAAAAAGTTCCTTGTAGCTTTCTTCCGTTACCTCCGAAGGTTTTTTAGTCCAAATAGGTTTCAAATCATTCAGTTGAACCCAATCCCATACCGTCTTTTCCACGGTCCTTTTTGACTTGGGTTTGTCTTCTTCCACCTAAAAGTGTACAGGAAATTAGGAATTCGAGAGACTACCGAGATTTCATCCGACGAGTCAACCTTCTCATCTTCTGTATCTTCCTCAACATTCTCCGTCCGACTTTCCCACAATTTGATTGGACACATAACAAACTGACTGTACTTTTGAAGAATCTTTCGCAAAACATCCTGTTGAAGGTACTCCTTTGCCTCCTCCTTTACGTGTAAAATCACCTCGGTACCACGCCCAAGTGTGTTCCCTCTAGGGTCCTTCGCTATTTTGAAGGAAGTAGAGTCTGATTCCCAAACATATTGATCGTCGTCATTATGTTTCGAGATAACCGTTACACGATCGGAGACTGAAAATGTTTAAATAATTCATAACAAAAACCTTACCCAAAAAGGCCGAGTAAAATCCGACCCCAAACTGCCCAATTAGATCAGTCGGTGCTGATCCATTCCCTTCAGAAAGCTTTGACAATAATTCAGAGGTCCCAGACTTAGCAATTGTACCCAAGTTCTTGACCAACTCTTCTCTGGTCATGCCGATACCGGTGTCTCTTATTGAAATGGTTTTCTCATGTTGGTTAGCTTTAATCATAATCGACAAGTCAGACAGAGAAGACAGAACATCAGCATTTGTTATGGACTGGAAGCGGATATTTTCAACGGCATCAGCAGCATTTGAAACCAGCTCACGCAGAAATATCTAGGGATAAATGAGCCGAAAAACGCTCAAATAATACCTCTTTATTTGAATATACTGAATTGATTATGAGCTTCATCATTTTAGGAACTTCTGCAGAGAACAAGTGTTCATCCGACTTCTCAGTAAGTTTCTGCAGAGATTCATTAGTTAGGCTGATAAACAATGAACATAACAAAGCGACTCACTCTGAAACAGTAACAGTCGATGTCTTTACACCACTCAGTCTTTCAACGCCTACTGACTCTTCACAAAGTACGTTTATTAATGTGCACGAAATATACACCACAACGAGGACCCAGAAACACTGATAACAGCCCCGCATGTCTCAGCAACTGAAAAGCCGCCAAGCAAGTGAAAAGAAATGTGTCGAATAATTATTGGCTGAATAAATTTTATTGATATGCATAAGCATAACATAACAAAACTGGTTGGATGCCAAAAAATTAATTTAGTTTCAAACTGAAACTAGACTAACTTAGGCTAGTTGGATAACATCAGCTATTACACTTCGGCAACGAAAGATGTCTTACCCATCTATCCATCACTAAGTAAATGGGGAGTAACTCCAGTGCAGCTAAGATAGGGCGCTTAATCACAAATCAACTGATACCACTTTGCATATTTATCTGGATCAGCTGTTTAGTCAGATATGAAGGAAGGACTTCAGGATAGGGAACTCTACTAGATGCTATAACACTGCTGCAAAAGGAATTTCAGAAAAAAACAAGTGTGCGCAACTTAGCGCATTCTTGTTTATGTATGTGCTTGAGCATAAGTATGCTTTCAGAGACTACATACAGGTTAAGTGGGTAGTAATTATAACAGCGAACTGCTCAAATTTTACATGGGATGCTTTCGCTTACGTAATTAATAAACTCCATGGAGAACACAGGAAAATCCTTAAATTGGTTACAGAATAAGAGATAAGAATAATTTTTGTGTTTGGTCCTACCCTGTCTCCGTGTTCCACAGACAGGCTCGTACCAACTGAAGCAACACTATGTAAACCACCTAAAAATCTCGTATCTGAAATTACTTTACCACGTCGAATTACTTTCCATGTGAGACTATGTCCGATTCCGCCCTCCCTGTTAAACACCTATGTTGGACCAGTTTATCAAACTCTTGTCGTGAATACGGTTGACTGCCGGCATAACTTCGGCTCCACTATTCTTGCCCCGAGAACAAGCGTAACCTTAGATTTGGTTGAAGCAGACGGGGAGACCAAGTACAGCTCTTCAGTCTCATGATTGCTGACGACTGACATATCTAACTTGTAGGTAGGCGAGCATGTTTTGATGGTCGGCGCAAGAGGTATTATGGGAGAAGCGATGAGGACGTTGGTCGAAGTTAAAGATAGGTACTGTACTATTTTGTTTGCGACCATCTGATGTTTGGCGGTTACATTTGGAATCCCCCTGCCTTAGGTCAATGGGCTAGCCATCGATCCATGTCGAAGCACAATCTCCTATTTTACATCCCGAATACATGTATACAACCCATGCTAATGTCTATTCACACCTAGCGAGAAGTCTTGGAGTGCTAGGATAAGTGTTCAAGTTCTTATATTGACCTCTAAAACAACCAATTTGGCAGACATCTGTAATATTCCTTTTACTTGACTGTCTCTGTGTAGGTTTTGGAAATAAATACTGGCCTCTCTAGCCATATCTAGTATGTTCTAGTGCCGGACGGGAGGGTTATGTGGTTACACCATTGACCACTTTTGCTTACTTATTAAAGGTAAGCAGTTGGTACCCAGAGGGTCCATGAAAATTAAAATACGTAATTACAGCTTAAAAGTAATTGAGCGCTAGTCCGAGCGTAGCGTCCCAAGACTTCTCGCCGGGTGGAAGAAGGCAGTAAGTGAAACCAGATACATGTATTCCAAAGAGAATAAAGCGACTAGGCCTGAGCAGGGCCCGAGGCCAGCTCACACGCACAAGGGCCAGACTAATCTTACTGTGACCATCGTACGTCAGGTTGTCGCATAAACAAAGCATTACACTGAGAGCTGATCGTTTGGTAAATATACTACGATATTTCTCCACAGCAATGGGACTTCGGTTGTTTTTCTGAAGCGCACAAAGACTGCGTTGCAATTTTGTGCGCAAACTGATGATTGTAAGAGCTGCCAGGCTACCCTCTGGTCCCTGAACCTCAGACAGCAAGAGACCGTTGGTTGTGGATGATTTGGGCGTTTGTTATTAGGAAAGAAGGGGAATGGGATGCAGATGAGGCGAGTAGGAGGTATCAATTGGAGGGAGACTCCTAGCCGGCTTCACGTACGTGATTTGAGCTCCCCACTGGTTCCCGCCTCTCACCTATAAAAGCACACTTAAACAAACTAGTATATATTACAATGATTACCACTAAAGGTTAAATTTGTCTGATCAAAATGTCTGATAAAGTGTTTTTATGCCTGTTATGGAAGAATCACAGCACTTAGACGTGTATGCTATACCTAGCATCGAAAAGTTTGACTAAAAAATAAATTTACGATGCATATTTCACCATTAGTTATGTTTTGCCAAACTACTTACAGTTGTCAGCTGCAGTCCACCGCCTCAAACAGGATATGTCATTTACACTGGAGACAGAATATGGTAGTTTTAGGACGTAAAATCAGTGCTTTTTAGTTTCGCCGGATAAATTAAATTTAGAAAAATGTCAATATTGCAATCGACGATTTTTCTCGCAATCACTCGTAGGCTCTTTACTTTTTCTTTCGACAATTATCCCCTTGGTCTGTGCTCCTCTCTCTTTCCATTTTCAGATTGTTTTGCTTTATTTTTAAGTACCGGTGTTAGGTTGTTGACTTTAAAGACTTATACTTTTCTGTCTTGGGCTTGAATTGCAACAACACTCCTCTTGCTTGCGTTGAATTCTCTTATACTTATCAATATAGCTCTGGTGACATTTTATTGATGACCATTTTAATAAGTAGCAAAAACATCTGGCGGCTTGCGAAAGGGAATGGATGCGTGAGAACTGTGCAAATGATAAAAAACGTGGGAATACATCTGGACCGAAAGTTAGGGAACACGTCACTGGATACGACATTAACGTAAAGACATTTGCGGACATGCTGGCTTTGGGTGCAGAGCGCAGAATGAGGTGGAGATTGAGGCACGAAGAATTCATTCACACAATTAAAACGGCCAAAGCAAATTCGATGAGGGAACGTGATGGGAGTCCAGAAGCTGTCGAGCCGTTATTGTCCGAGATAACTCAGGCAGGTAATGGTGCAAGTGCCAATTATTTCTGATTTGCGTAAATTCTGTTTTGCAGTATTTTCTTTTGCAGCAGTAGTATTTGATGCTTAAAAGTAAAGACCCTAAAGATTTTGTTAATTTTAATTTTATTTTATCATGGTCTCTTTCTTGAATCTAACGATTAGTCAAGATCACTGGTGATGGGCTCATTGGGATCATTTCACGCACTTGATTTTCTGATTGAGTTAATGCATTATCCTTTGTAGAGAGAGTTTTCATTTTTATGCATTAGGACCTTCTCCTTCTGCAGGTTTGACACAGTGCAAATTTTGTGGACGAAGGTTTAATGACGCAGCCTTTATGAAACACAAGGACCAGTGCAAAGCCAAGCAAACAAGCGTACAATCTGACCAAACTGAAGAACAAAAGGAAGCCAAATTGCGGTTTCTTAAAAGAATGAAGGTGGGAATTGGAGCATTTTTTTCCATTTTGTCGTGAAGATGCCTAATAATTCATATACGTTCTTTTTTCGTTATCATTGCTCAAAACGTCGTATTTTATTTCCATAAAGAAAGTCTCAAACAAGTGATGTCTTTGGACGTGAAATTTTTGCTAATTCAAATCCCTGCACAAACTCAGCATAGATTGCATCGACACGTAGTTTGTCTGTGAACAATTTAGGCTTAAAAATTCTGAGCGACTCAAGACCGAGTACACGTTGGGACGGCATTTATAGGCGAATCTCATTAACATTCCACAATATCACAATGCTGTTTTATAGTACAACCTTAAATTAACGGGGAAAATGAAGAGAGAAGGCAAGTCAGAGGAAGAAGAGCCAAGCAAACCTCCCAAACCAGATGTCTTAGAGGTAGTCTCTTCGGCGGCCAATGAAGTAACGAGCCCCGTGCAAGAGTCTGAAACGCTCAATAACTTGGCTGCTAAACTCTGCCATGGTTTGGATTTCTTCAATACATTTTCCTCAGACTTGCTGCACGCAAACATTTTCAACAAGCTCGTTCAGCAAAACTTATCTGCTCTCTTTGCCAATACACCACTGCAAATAAGTAACTGCAATCATGTCAATGGCACTGACAGTTGTTAGTTCTCCTCAACTTTATCTGCAATGCCTTGACAAGATTTTGAAATAATTTTGTAATAATCTAGATGCAAGGTTTGCTCTTTGATTATCGCAGAATGACAATTTTAACATCATTAGTCATTAACAAGGCAAGAACGTTGTTGTTGTAGCTGAGATATCTCAAAATCGATAATGACAGCCTTCAGTTATTTTTCTTCGTCCAATTGTCTGATCTTTTAGCTACCTCTCTTCCCTTCTTTTCTGCCTCCTCCCTTGAGTCGACTTCGGCTGCACCGTCGGCAGTAATCGACAATGAAAAGTCGCCGTCCATGCTGAGGTCTAAGCAGCAGCGTGAAAATTCGGTGCAGCCGCAGTCCTCCAACAGCGAGGCTGCCAAGGGAGTCGATGCTGAAACTGTGCAAAGGAAGACATCCACCTCCACCTCTTCCACTAAAGCTGTCAGCTCCTCTCGTCGCACCAATTCCCACCGATCAATTAAGCCACCACCCACGGTAGTCAACAATTTCATCAACGACATAATCCGTGAAAACACTTCAAGAAGAGAAAACAATCAACAGGAGGGGAAGGATATGGGTAGTGAAGAATGTGGTACCACCAGCAGCTGTGGAAAGGGAAGATATGAGAAGTCAGAAGTGATGGAATCGGTAAAAACCAGTGGACAGCTGAGTAAATCTCACACCCGCAACCACAAACACAGCCTGAAGCGAAACGATTCGCACATAATTTCAGAAGGTGACCAAAACTCGTGCGTTGTGTTTTATAAGTTCAATCCTACCAGCACAGACTTTTCTCAGGACCAGAAAACTTCGCAAAAGGTTGGATATTTTTATTCTTCCCTACTTGAGGAAGGAGGGTGTTTTCATATCTTTAATTTGCCCATGGTAAAGCTGTTCAACTAGTGACCACCATTTTTTGCACAATAAATAACTGTCAAACCTTACTTTGCTATTGCACGCTGATGTTTGCTCATAGTTAAAAGAGATGCTCCAAGAATTCTTATTTTGCCCAATTCGATGGCGAGCTATGATTCAACTTGCTGATAGAAGTGGTTCATTCGCCTTATTTATCGCGAAGAAGAGCTCTCGAATTCTGATTAGCGGGTGGGTAACAAATAATGGAGACATACAGTCCAGTTGACTCAATATAGCTCATTGGTGTCAATAGAAATATCCTCTGCATCTGAAAATACCGCATCAAATGGATGGAGAGGCCAACGCTACGACTGAGATACGAGAGGGCGGCGCGGGCAGCCTCTATTCGCGGATGGCGGCACAGGAGGTCGAAGCAGTTGGCACGTCATCCCGCTTACAGACGCCAAGTGTACGCAGTTCAGAGCGTAGCGATGTCATCTACGATTCCCAGTCCTTGGTTCTCAGGTTAGTCTTACCTCGCTTATAGCTCAAACGTAACCGCACTTTCCAATTCCTGCATCTTAGGGCAAGCTTTGTTTCAAAATTTGCCGAATCCAGTTCACTTTTTTAGCGCACTGACTTACAAATAGCAGAATGTCTGGAAAAGGGATATTTTTTAGTAACCAAAACTCTAGACGGGATTTGAATGGGTAGTTACATGACTTTGAATTTTGCTAATGCTCATTCGGCTAGTTGTATGCTAGCATATTCGTAAGGTTTGATGCGTAAATGATTTGTAAAATCATACTATCCTCAGAAAAACGACAACATTGCTACCTGCTTTAAATCTTTTCAAAAAAATTGACCTGTTTTGTCTTAATTGCCTGAAGACGTTTTGAATTATCCCTTCATTTCAAGCAGGATGTGTCAATGAGACCGAAATCTTTACAGCATTCTCTCATTACACTTGTTCTCGACTGCACTCAATCGTGGTACGATCTCATTTGATGTTAGTGTAGTTGATATTGCACCTCCTATCAACTCCTTACAAAAGTTGCTTTTTATATTTCATTGACAAACACTTTGCTATCATCCTTGTCAGGGGTGATTGGTTCGCCTGTACCAAAAGAATCACTATAAACCATAGTTATTCAACTTTTAGAAGTCGTCACAAGATCTGCCACCATCATCACCGCCGCAAGAACCCGGAGGCAGTATGTACTCCACGTAGTAGAGGCAGCAGCCAAAGCCACTACTCATCGCAGGATAATTGTGGGAGCGATGACGGTGGTCGGAGGAACGCGTCGCGATACTGCCCCCAATGTGGTAAAAAGTTCCCCTCCAAAGCGCGATTCTGCTCCTCCTGTGGGGCCATGCGTAAGTCCAAGGTGGCTACGATGGACTCAACAGGCATCCCGACGCCGCACAGGTTTACGCATGCTTGCTCTGGAAGAGACATTGGTTGTGACTAAGTTGGAGGAGTAAATGAAGAGCTGGAGTAAACTGAGTTGTTTATAATATTTATTTTACCCTGCCCCTACTTCACTAGGTTATGTGCCATTACACTTGCCCACCTACTTGTACGCATCCACGGGTATGCCTGGCGTAGGACAGAAATGTATCCATATTCATTACGTTTAGTTTTATCTACGCATTCTTCTGCCTCTATGTATGTGTACACTGTGCTGAACGTTATTTTGAGTGCCCAATATCACTCTAAATTTCTCTCCTTTATAACCAAAACTCATTCATATAAAGTAAGCCCATGACTGCCATATATGGAAGCGTGGTTTTGTTTGACTAATAACTCACGCGAACTGAAAGCTTTCAACTCACAAAAAACTGGAGTAAAAGGATTTCGGTAATTGCGCAGTACGTTGGACTAAATGTTACCCATCATGACAAGCATTTGATCTGCTAATTTGTTTGAGTTAAATACTAGTTTACCAGTGTGATGTGGTATGGAACACTCTGGTGTAGTAAAATGATGGTAAAAGTGTGATAGAGTAGAGGATTCAAATCTCATAACAAAGCTCAGGGTAGAACAGTCGAAAATACCTCCGTCGCATGACACTGAGTATTTTTGACATTATTCCAAGGTCTTAGGTAAAAGTTATGCCATAATATTCTTTTGAAGATCACGGTGATTATACGTTTTTGACCGTCTTTTCGTTAATTTTTGACGAGTTGACAGGGTCATGGTGTTTGGTGAGTTTCTCACCTGAGCTAGGTACAGAGACCCTGTCCGGTCAAACGTGTTTGTGATATGGTGGCATTGTAGCAGCCCTGTTTTTGTGCACAGATGTGCGAAAATTTGTGCGCTCCGTAAGCCGGTTACTCCTGAGTTCTTTTGTCTGCAAATGCAGTGACTAGTATGAATGAGGCTTCAATACCTAACTGCAGATTTTAGAGTCCTTAAGTCTAGAGATTGAAAGTAAACGGTAAACCGAGAATGGGAAATTTGTGGAGCTGTGTGACTTCAGCATCTGCAGTCTTGTACCAAAAAGATGGTGAGAAACATTCACACAAAAATGAGAAGGTAAACTTTGCAACTACGATCAAGTACTGTTGGAAGTCTAAATGTTGAAGTAACGACGTTGGTAATGCGTCAACATCGATGAAGCTGAGGACAAGGAGATCCTCCTAGCACAAAAAAGGGACTGTTTCAGCTACAGCGGTGACAGGCGATTCTCGACCATACCACTTTGGTTAATCACTTAGCATGGTTGAATGATAATTTTTTTCCAACCCAGACTTAGGGCGCTCAAGTTATCATAAGGGAGGCACGAAGTGAACTTGCTTAATGGCTTAAGTTCCATGAGCTGTGGATTCTACAAATAAACAATGCAAATAGTCATGTGAAGAAAACTGAAGCACGAATGCATTCCGCTGAATGTTCGAGTGAATACCAATTTTTTTAGAACTAAATAAGTGAAGTTAATTCGTGAGGTTTTCTCTTTGCAGTTCTTTAACACAATACAAATTCAATAATGAGTCGAGGATGACTGTATCAGGTCTAAAACGGCTCAATTTCCCTGACTGATGATCATAAATCAGGTCTGCCGACAGTACGACATCAATAACTACAGTGACTGATGAGACTGATCGTTCCCTAAGTGGTCCCCACTATGGAAATTAAGCCACCAGGCTAACCCAATTATTAAGGCAAGCACAAGCACACTGTAAACAGTGAGATGAGAACAGGGTTCGGACGATCATTCCACAAATATCAATGAAAACCACTTAAAGGCACATCCCAATCGAGGTTCCCTTAAAACCAGGATTGATTTCGTGTGTTGGACACGTAATCAAGACCATTAAGATGTTCCCTAATTTAGGAAAAAAAACAATCTCAAACGACTTCCAAGTATGGAAATCAATGCATTAATCGATTCCCAGTGTTCAAGACCCATCGATTAGTCGAACATTTGAATGTGCTTGATGGATAGCATTCAAACGAGTCACAATCAGAAATATCAGACATGATCCCAAGTAGTGACACAAATTCGGACATGGTTCAACGTATCGAAAGAATCCAAAATCACAGAAATGTGCAAGGTGTGATTTTAGTCAATGCAGAGGGAAATCCGGTCCGTTCAAATATGGACAACTCCACTTCACTCCAGTACACAAGACACGCCGAGGAGTTGAGGTCGATGACACAACACGTGGTTCGAGACCTCGATCCCGAAGACGAGCTAGTCGTTCTGCGATTGCGTACTCGAACGAGCGAAGTGATGATCTTACCAGGTGAGTCAGATTTGCTCAAACCTTGCCCATAGCCATAGCCCAGGAGGTCAAGAAACAAAACACCATTTGTGGGGGCCAAAATCGCATAGCCTAGAATCAGTAGGAAATCACCACTCTCATCGTCACAAAAAGGTTGACCATGTACTACCTAGCTCACGTCCATCTTTTCAGAAAGGGATCAGACGGTGATATGCATCCAGGCCTGCGAAAACGGGGCCGATGGAGAAGGGTTTTGAAAATAACAACAAGTATGTAACATCAAACAGCCTTTATTGCCGCAGAAAAGGTGAGATGTAATACTAGAGAGACAACTACAGAAAACGCCGAACGCAAGCCAACTACATGAACAAAAAATTAACCTTTGGGAAAACTATTAACAAAGACCGGTGATAGAGTATCAATGTCCTTTTAGGGAGTAAGTGCTCAAAGAGACCATATTTTCTTGACGCCCTTGATAACACCAATGTCGTAGTAGTTGAAGTAGGTAAATCCAGCGAATCCGAGAAGGCAGACGGCCTTCCAAAACAACTGCAGAGCTTTAGGAACGAGTGGGCCGTACTTACGCTCGATAGCATAGTCACGAATGACACCACCAAAGCCCCTGTACAAGTAAATTAGTTAGCGCATGATCGGTAATGTTTATGGAATAGCAGCAAGCCTACCAGTAAGCGTGAAGTGAGACAGCAGCAGATACCACGTAGTCCATAAGGTATGGCTCGTAGATCAGAGCGATAGGATACATAGGAAGCATTGAGACAGCAATCAAACGTTCGATCGTCCAGTGGTGAGAAGGAAGGAAACCGGATGTGACTGGTTGGGGAGCTGTCAAACAAGTACACCAACAGTACTAGAAATAGCCAGAGAAGCTCGTCTCCAGAAGAGAGCTTAGACACCTAGCACTCTCTTAGGAAAGCAAGAGAAACTATACCCCAAGTTTGGAATTTAGTAGGAATGCCGATAAAGAATTCGTCACAAACTACGTACAACGCACAATTACCTGTTCCCAGTTTCGCGTTATTGTTGGAAGTGCATACCAATGTTCTGCAAGCATTCGGTGACACGAAACTTGACACAAGAGCCCTGCGAATCAAGTGCCTAGACGCCAAAAGTGCGAAGGACATCCCGTACATGAAATGCAGAAGACTTAAATGTATTGTACCCCTATTTGTTCAACGACTAAAACAATCAAAATATGGTTGCATCCATCGCTATCTGGTTACAGTGAACTCACATTTGTACCGTTTACGCATGCAGAGAATTTTAAAATTGGGAAAGGAGAACTCATATAAAAATTATTAAGTCACAAACAGGACTAAATTTGTACATGAAAATCGTTCACAAAAATTCAACCTTTTAAGTAATATGGCATTATAGTCCGATTTCCCTCACATATTCGCACATAATTTTCCAATACAAAATCAGTGCTTAGTCCCTATTATATTAGTTTTCTAAAGGACCCTGTACGCCCAAAAACTTCTTCACATGCCAATGCGTTTTGATACTTTAGGGTTCTTTAAGTTTATCTAAGAAAAATTAGTTGGTCTACAAGGCATCCCACTTTGTATAGACAATACAGCCACTCATATGGCCACAATCCCTCCCAACATTCAATCAAATAAATCAACCCTATTCTCAGTTGCACGACCTACCTAATTCTGACACCGATAAACCTTTAACACTGTCTAGCACAAAGTTATCGAGGATTAGAAAAAACCATATTGCAGCAACTGCCCGCCTACTCTCATGCCTTCGAACTGCGGACTTCAAGAGAGGGTTATTTGTGGCAGACTCATTAGGCATTGAGTACAGTAAGAACGAGGATAGGAGTACACATGAGCCGAACGGCAGATATCATCCGGAGAGAGACTCCTTACGGCCCTCACGCATCGTGTTCGCATCCGAATTCGCGTCCCGCCTCTCTACTACAAAGGTTAACTTAAACACTCTAGTATATACACATTTATGAGCCAACCACATCAATCATTAATTCCATTACAGCCAAGGGAAGGCACATGACCACAAATCGACTAGTGCTTCTTCACAAATTCAGCTATGTTCGGTATTTCATTTGACATGATGCTTTCACTGAAAGCAGTTTGAGGAAAGGGAGTCGGTTTTCGCTGTAAGGCAACCAAATCAGCGAAGACAGTATGACTGTTGGCCAGAGACTTTCCATTTAGGGGCAGAAGGCATCTTGGATGGCTAGAGAGGAGGTAAAGACATGTGGCTCCGACTTAACATGATATCCATCCAACCCGGCTAAACTAAGATGGGCGCCAATGTTACTGCTAGGCATACAGACAATCGTTGGAGAGTAATGTAAGTGGGTGAGTTTATGCAGTCTTTATAAAAGTCCATGAGTTTGGGTAGGATTTTAATAAGTTTTATAAAAAGAAGAATAATAATGATACAAATTGATTGTTTAAATTGTGCTTTGTTGACGGGAAGTGGGAAATCAATTCGAATGCTGTACAAGCGTCGGGCGAGGATCATTCCTAGGACTGGTCTGTATATCCTGTGTATCCTTTTAAGAAGACGGAGACAAAGGAATAAGAGAATGGGAAGGCAGGTACCATAAGTGCAGTTGCGTTGATTGCGCCTAGAATTTGCTAAATCCGTGGGATGGATTATCATTTACCTGGTGGGCAGCAGACTTCAAAGCCCTCAGCACCAATGTTTGCATCTGGTTCCTGCTTCTCCTTTTTTCGACTTGGTTCAGTAAATTCGACCTGAGCTTAATCTTGTGCCAGATACAAACTTAACCATAGGGAAGAGCAAATTGTGTAGCAGGAATACTGCTTGTAAATTGCATGTATGATTGGTTCGAATTATTCAGGACCAAATGCGCATCGGTAAAAACTGACTTTCGAGCAATAGCTTGATGCTGAGCGTCGAATAACTAATGTAAAGCCTTGTTTTTTTCGATTGCCTGTAACCGGAGGTAGCTTTGACTTTCATCCTGCTCTTGAAGTCGTGAAATTGCCTTTAGACCAAGCCAAAGCGCAGTCCCTATCCCCTCTTCATGAATGTATGCATTTTAACGCTTCTTTGTGTTTTCTCCCACCTAGTAGATAGTCTCACAAGACTACAATCTTCTATTGGTATAAGTGAAGATGTTTGGATTTTAAGTAGTGAATTCAGGTATGAACTCCGAGTGAATTAATGGCCGCTCGGTGGTAGAGCTTGTGCACCTCGTGTTTGTTTGAATTGTGTTGGGATCGATATCTCAGGTCAAGAGCTTTACAAGGTTGAGTACAATTCTTCGAGCTTTTAACAAAGGTGCGTGCGAAATTAGTAATTTTGCCTATAGTGTTCTTAGAATCCGTGCAGAAGTTAGGTATTAGAGCACTTAAACGAGCAATACCTGAAGTCGACAAGGTTGATGCACCACGGCAGTAAATGTATTAGCAGCGTATAGGAGGGCTGAGGAGCTATCGGTCACACTGGTCATGCCCACCAGTATTCACATGCCCATGGACTACTGTAGTGCTGAGGTGCTGCTAATATCAATGCAGTAGAGTATAATGGGTTGAGACTATGGTCGTGGTGGTGTAGTTGGGGACGTTACCCAGAGAAGTTGATCAAACTTCCAACATCGAAATTGAAGAAATACTCATTTATGGAATATGGATATGAAGCATAGAGTTCAAGTCATGACATCGGATGTCAGCATTTCTCAGTATCATTTTAAATAAGAACATTTTTCTCAAAAGCTTGCTTCAGAGCCTCAGACACATAGACGGGATTTAAAGGACAGCATGGAAACTACACTTATTGCACAAATTATTATCAAAAATCAAAATAATCAACCTACACCTGATGGTTAAAATATCTGCGCTATAAATTGTGTGTGTTATATTTGCTCTTCTGTCCTCCTTGTCTACTTCTAGCATTGAAATTGTATGCTGGTGTCGTGTAGGCGGTTTCATTGCCCGTCAAGGTTGTATGGCAGGATCAGTATTCTCCCCTCCTTCCCCTTGGGAGTCAACGGCGTCAGTGATGGCGCTACCCGGACGTTTGCCACCCCAACGATATATTCAGACAATCGCGCATAACTCATTATCATAACTGTGTCACAATAATTTACCGAAAACGAAATTTAGTAATTGTATACACAAGTGACACGTGTTAAGTCTCCATCGTGATGTAGGTTGCATTTAAATTTAATGGAGAAAACTCCTCTTTACAAATTACACTTGCATTGGTCCAACGAGTTCTGGGAGTAAGTGAACAATGCATCTTAATACACTTGCTTTTGCATGAGTTAAAGACAAATGATATTCCACTTAGATTGTTCTTTGGAGAATATCAATGCTTGAGGAGGTGCAAGTGACCCCGTCGCGCACTCGAAAAGTCCATGCTAAGTTGAGGAAGAGCAATTGATAAATATGACCTATTTATTTTTTGAGCTTTGCATGATTGGCAGTTGAAAAAGCAGCACAAATATTGTTAACAGCCTTTCGACGCGCAAATCGTATTCACCTCGGTAACTTCAATTGAAGACGACTTTTGAAGTAAATAAGAGCTCTTAGATGTTGTAAGTATAGTCACTTTGGTGTTACCATTACCAGCAAATCCACTTAGGGGCTCACAGCAATGTGGTGTATCCTTCCATTGTCGCCTGGTGAAAGCTTCAGCCTCGTCTGTTCCTTTGCTTATTATTGACTGTTAAATCCGCTCATTAAATTGTCGCCTGACTTCATCTTACATTGCAAAGACAATGTAAAGCATTGATGTTATTTTTTCTTTGCCCCTTTTCTTTTAATATACGTTGCATTTCCTAATAAGCTTATTATTATTCCACTTGGCTTACTTTGGCAAAGTCATATCACTTGTACAGTAATCTTGAAATAACTGCCATCTACACGAGTCACAATTTTAGTTTGCAAGTAGTCTTCACTCTAACTTTTTCCCTTAAGCCTTTTTTTTCGAATGAAATATGTCTGCGACATGCAGTACAACTTTTAATTTAGTAAAGTACTCGGAAGTCAGCAATGCAATCCTACATTTGTGCTCTCGTGCTTCATAGACTAGGCGTTCCTGGGTTACAATCTACCCTTAGACACTGTCATCTTACAGATCTTTGGGAATGTAATGGAATGAGTGGATCGACGCGTCATCTGATTGAATCATCTCCTGAAATGCTAGTGATTTTATGGCAGTTTTGTTTGAAAATATATCCAAGCGCCTTAACTGCTAAAGTCTTGCAAATGTTTGGGGAAAGGATGCGTGAAAGACTACCTGGGCAACTGTATTTACCCACTAATCCAATGCAATTATCAACACGATTCGTGGTACTTCTTTCCTAACAGACCACTGCTTGAAGTTCCCCAATAGGCGGAATGAACAGCTGTGTGGGCGACAAAATTAGTTATTACAATGAATCGACATCACAAGAAAATAAATTGGACCCAAAAGGCAAAATGGACATTTGAGTTATTTTATTTTCTTTCCTAGTTACTCTACTGATCATCGACCGTTCAGTATTTTTTAAATGACAATTTTAAATTGCAAATACGTCTATTGACTAAACTCCGATCATAGTAACCGTCCTTATGCATTACAGAAAAGGCACAATCCAGCGAGCGAACGCAGTGGCACTTTACTACCTTCTGTACCTTTGCACAAATCCTTAGAAATAATCAATTAAGGGGATGTTTTTACGTAACAAGGCACTCACTACCTATGACGCAATTACAACAAATAGAATCCAGTTTCGTAGTTGCAAAAAGCAAGTGTGCACCGCAACCTTTCCATTTCTTGTGTTCTGAGGTATTAAAAATACAATCTTTAGATCAGCAATTGTGCATACACTCACAAACATGCCGATGGGCAAACTTATAGTTATAGAAATGAAGTTGATATTATAAAGTAAAAGTAATGTAGAAAAAGCTTGGTCCAGCCCTTAGGTGTTCCTTCGCCTACTCGTCCGTCGGTGAAGAACAGCAGTGGCAGTGGTGGGGAATAATCCGTGTGTTGTGCTTGGTTCATCCTCCCCCATCTCAGGAATCTCGCGCTTTTCCCTGTCTAGTCCCGCCTGGTTCCTCTCGCCTTCACTCACTTTAACCCTCTTCTCCACCCCATCTTGCGCTTCCAACATCTGGGAACTGAAGGACCCTTTGGACGGATGAGGAACAGTTTCACAGCTGAAGGAGACAGACTGTTTGCCTCGTCTAGAGGGAGCAGTGATGGGTCCATGCACCAGAGGAGGAGGACAGAGGGTCGATGAAGAGGCTGGGGAGGAGGACAGATCCTCATGGGAGCGCGTTTGATTTAGATAGAGATCCAAGGATGTCTGCAGCAGAGCTACGGCAGGCGACGTCTCTCTGCTGCGATGGGAAGGCTTGTAAGCATAAAGTGGAAATATGCCAGAAGGGGGAAGACTGCCAGTATGAGGTCGCTGTCCTGCAATACTTTGGCATAACTGTATCACGGTGTCCATCTTCTTATCCAATCGTTTCAGCTAAAACCGGATAGCAAAACATGTGTCATTCGGGGATGCATACTAAAAAAAAAAACGGAACCATTACCTATAGTCCTTGCATTCCACGAAGTGCTTCCCCTTAAAGTGCCTATAAATCTGCTAATTCCTATTCACCACGTCAGTGTGGAGATAGCGTCGTTGTTATTCTTTCATTAGTAGAGATACGGTTGGTAGCATTCTCAGCATTTGGCCTCGTTTAATGCACGACTAAAAAATCTTTGCCACAATAACAAAAAAAGGTGGTGTGGTGAGGTGGCAGAGCGAATTGCACGTAAGGCAATGAGGTTTGGTTTTCAAATCCACTTGCACGGAATACAATTCGACTGCTGTAGAGAGGTTTAACAAACGTAGGCCTATCCAAAAAGAGCTTTAAAATTTTCAAGTTCATGCTTCCCATCCAACTTAGTTGAATGAAACCTTGGGGGAGTTGTCCACCTACAGTGCATTAAGAATGCCTACTTGGGTACTAATCGGCACAAAGGAGCAGCAAATCATAAAATGCAAAGCTAAACCGACAAGCAAGCATTAATTGCCATTCTTCATCGCTCATTTGAAAATTAGTAGAGTTGTGTAGACAATAAGACCGATGCGGCGCCCAGATGTACAGAGGTAAGATAATGTTAATATCACAGAAATAGCATCTTTAGTTTGCCCTAACAATGGTCGCCGCTTGACTATATGGTCCGTGATTTAGGGAACAAATTAGTACACAATAATGCAAGTTTGAGCAAAATTGTTGCAGAAATTGCAAATGGTTGGATGGGCGTCATGCGAATGGGTAAGGACGGATTTCCTGTGCAAAATGCCATTTTTGCAATGTTTAAACGCACCTACACCGATCCGTTCTATCAACAGACCACATCGCTCTCTCACACACATTAACATATGCTTCCTTTTTGCAATCATCATAGCAAAGTTAACGTGAATGGTGAACCTGACCAGAAAGACAATACCAGACCACCAAAACAAGAGCAAATATACCATCGAATAAAATGTAGAGCACGAAAAAAAAGGCTGGCAACAAGTAAACGGTCAGGGCACTAACGCTACTCAAGGACTTACAAAAGTTTACCAAAACTGAATGAATGAGTGGCGAGATTGAAGTGCTCTCGATCATGTCAGTTCTCTCCCTCCCCCTCCCCCTCCCCCTCTTACTAGAGCCTCAGAAGGCACAGCCGCAAGCACTGATGATGGCGCTTGTTGTCTGCAGTGCCGTCATAAGTAGGCTAAAGGCAAATTGTGTGGGGAATTAGGAAGTTTGTCCTTCACTAAGCACTTTATTCCTTATGCAGTTTCACTATGCGAAAATCCAGGTGAATTCATCGAGTACCAAATATGAGGAGAATAGAGAATCACAAAAGATATAGCTACCGGGCGAAATGACACCAGTGGGAGGGTTAATGCGTCACCCCAAGATGGTACGAACTGCTTGGACGTCCAGCGGGCGTACACTGTCTTGACAATTGAATGACAAGTGACATCTTACATAGAAGTAAATGTGTGCCGAAGCTGGTATCAACAGGATCTCGACTGCTGGCCGTAATTTTGTATGGATCCAAGTTTCCAACGCATGCACTTTAATGTCAAATTAACAAAATAGGTCACAGTATAGTAAATTTTTCTATCCATAGGCTTATCAGAGGTCAATCTTGCCAGGTCAAAGATTCGCGCATTACACTGCCTGTGGCAAATTTTTGACCGGGGAAGTTGTTTTGAAAAAATTTTAAAAGGACATCGCTATCCAAATTGGCACAATGTGAAGTTCAGCTCTCTTCGTGCCTGCATTTTATGTACGGTCGAAGCAGTTTGTTTACTGCAAAGCCTACTTTTGTCCAATGGAAATACATTTCAGCTTTCCGAACTTAAACAAACGTCTTCAGTTTGGGAAAGTATTCAATGAGGTGACAGTCGCCCATGTCTGCAGCTGATAGAGTGGAGCATTAGTTTCGAAAAAGGTTTAGCCCATATTAATGCAGCAAACTATCGATGCATTAAACTAACGCCGATAACAGTAGGCAGACATTTTAAGAAGCATTTTCTTCCAAGTTAACTTTTGTACTTAATCTACAACTCTTGATGCGATGCTGAAAGGGAATATCAACAGTAGAATTGGAACAAAATTACTGCTTGCTGTAATGTATAAAGAATCAAGAAAATGTGGGACCAAGCTAAAGAAAAGGAAACTCAAACCCCTGAAACGATAGCGGTAAACAGCAATAAAAGCATAAAAAATTAATAGCACTATTTACTACCTGGAAATTAAATCTCACACGAATTGAACCTCATGTTTTGATTATTTTTTTTAAGTTAAACCAAGAGTGAGTTTTTTATTTCCACTAATAAATTCCTCACTTTACATGTGGCAGGATAGAATTTTTGACGAAAATTCGAAATGCTTCGATGGTTAGTCGTAAAATGATATCTTTGCAAAGGCACGATTAAACCCGCCTCGATGGGGATCGGAGGCGGAAATGAGGCAAATTTAGTGGCGCGATTGACTGCGTTTTGGCTCAATCCGGCAATTACGTGGAGGAGTGGTGAGTCACTTAGCGGCTTCGCACCGGTGTGCTCAATCCACTGTGGCGCGATCGTTCTGATATCGCCCAAAGCTGAGACCTCTTCGATGGGCATTACCATTATGCAACTGGATCGTGATGGGGTCTGCAATCGGTGCCCCTTGTACGTACGAGAAAATAGATGCACCTTCTTATGATTTTCTGTGAATGCATGCATATGCAATCACCGTATGCTGCGTTTTTTTACCAGCTCTGGTTGTCTGACAGGCTAAATGACCTCAGCGGCTATGGTCGGGGTCAATAAACCAAGGGAAAGGCTTGTTCGCGAAATTGATGCTGTGTTTTGGAGCCAGCATGCAAAGGTGGCAGCTAAATACAAGCAAAATAGCGCGCAAACAACGCGCATTGCATTGAAGCACACGTTGATGCGAATCCTGTGAAATGAGTAAACACCGAAATTGTTTGTTGTACATTTAGGCAAGCAATCATCCCCCCCAAAATGGCTTGTCCTGAGTCAAGTTCATAAATTATCTCAGCATGCAAACTCCTTAGGGAAAAAGTAGAAAGTAAACGTTGTAAACTCTGACTCCAAAGTCAAATTTCACCGATTTGAGATGGCAAAGGGGGTGGGAAGTAGATGAATACTCCATGCAGCAGAGTTAGCTAAAGTAAGCACAATCTTATACGATTTTGCTCTAAATTGTTACGCCGTATTAAGTGTTCCTTCAAAATGCTTTCCTTAATCCGATGTCCTCGTGACAAGAATTATCTTCCTTCAGTCTATAAAATCATCCAGTAATTTGGCCTCCTCTTTGAGGCACTGTTATGTGATTCGTGTAGTATGGTGGTAAAAACATAAGAAAAATATTTCTGTGTCTAATTCATGTAAAAGGGATAGTCTTAGTTTCTTAAAGCACAGGTCGTGTTAAGGGTCCTATACGAAGTTTGCACTACTATTCAGAGCAAGGTTTGGTGGTTAGTAAATGAGAAAACACGCATGGACAGCTGTTGCCCTCAATGTTCAGAGCGTCCAGATTGAAAATGAAAGCACCTCAGAATAATAATATTTGCTTCTTCACAAACATTCCTAGGGAAAACACTCGACAGACTTAAGCAACTGGCTCACAGACTTTGACGAACGAGAGATAAATACGAAAAGGCAAAGCAATAGCGTGTTTAAGGTCTACAAACCATTGAGATTTACAGAAGGCCAGCGGTGTTGTAGGTTTGAGTACTGTCAAGTTTAAAGGCAGCATCTGACAAATCACGATTTCTGCTGTGACAATGTAAAGGTTTAAGCGTTCGTGGAATGTCAAAAGTATAAGTTGTAGTCAACAGAACAGCAGGTTACTTGTTTCACCCGTCCCAAAGCAGATTCCTCAATTAGCTAGGTCTCGGAGCTTATCGGGCCATACTCAATAAGCGATCCATAAGTAGTAACGCTGTAACTGGAGTCAATTGTCAAAAGCTCTAGTCAAAGGCTCCTGAGGAATTAAAATGAAATTAAACCCATATTAAGGACCGATACATACATTTGTGGAGTCTAGTATAAGGCAATAAAAAAGGTAGAGCATCGTAACATGCTTAAAAAGCTTCCTCCGATTAACTTAGCGCACTGATGAAGGTAGAACCGTAAAGGAAAGTGTTTTATGGATACGGTTTTAAGTGATGAGTAATGAAAAATGCCGTCCTTGCCGCTCTACTGACCACGACCTCTACTTCTTACTTAATTGACACCACATTCGCCCAAAGCAGAGCACACTATTTAAAAGTTGTCGTTGAAATTGGAACTAACATTGGACTCTATTCCAACTATCCGAGCTGCAAGACTGATATGGGAGTTGTAAGCAGTCGGAGATTTGCCGCCTTGGCGTCCGAGAATGGTATCTAGCCTGAAAAAGTGAAAAGTCAGAAAGGGCGTGGTGCATTTGATGTGAAAACAGTTTTACGTAATTTTAGGAGGAGACCCTCGGATAAGAAACGGTCTATACGTATTCCTATTTTAAAAAAATGTTAAATTATTGAAGGACGGCCTTAGTGAGAAGGGTGTAAAATACGATGAAATGTAACTTGTGTACTGTACGCATACTGCAAGGTTGTTCGACTGTTAACTTAGTGGGCGAGAAACTACAGCCCAGTGAAGGGGCGAATTTCTTGAAAACTGTACGATTTTCTGGGGTGAAACAAAGCGAATCTCATTGAAGCATGAAAAACTAGTGTGGAGAAAGAGGAGTGAGTAAAAGTTACCTCCTTACGAAACAAGGAAAACTCACCTCGATTGAAGTATCTTCACCCTCGAAACCATATCCAAATGTCCAGCCGAATACTGCTCAATAACGTCTTTGACATCATAGGGTCTAAGGGCCTCGCGAAATTTCCGCCGCGCAACGTAGAGTCGAATTTTGCGAATCACTCGGATGACAACTTTGTCTTTTTCGGTCAGTGGGCGGCTTGTTTCAAAGTAGTATGCGCCCAGTCTGCCATCGCGTACTTCTGTCGGGCTTGCCGTTTCTAGAGCTCTGCCGTGAGAGGAGGAACTGCCGGTTTGATCTAAAAGTTGACAATTTTAGTGCACAATAATGCGCATGATTTGGGAAGAAATTACATGATGATGAGTAGACGATGAATCTGATTAATTCAGGTAAATATGCACAGGAATGCCTGAAAATTGGGAATAAATTAGAGCCCATGGCTCTGGTTGTGCAGAAAAATCAGGTCGATTCTTTCGGATTATAGATTTAGACAAAAAGTCGTGAGAGCCTCAGACCACTCATCCGAGTTTGCATATCAAATGTTCATTCGCAGATTCCTTCTGATAAGGATTAGTCATAGCTCAAACTGACGTTCTAAAGTGAGCGTGGCTGGATGCGAGGAAGAATTGCATTTCTTTATTACTCCCAACACTTATCCATGTCTAAAAATCTCTCCACTTTCGATCCTACTGAAGAATTAATGGAAACAAAATACGTTGTTGAGCAGTTTCACAAACTAAGCCAGTTTTTAATCGTATGAATAGTAGTAGGTATTAGAGTTAAGGGATTATACTACGAAGAATTTACGAGAGGGAACGCTTCCACTGCAGCTCCACCATATGCCATTTTAGTTTGAAAGTACAACCCATGCTAAGAAATGGAATGTGAACAAAACAGAACATAACAAGCGCTCTCAAGGAATGGTCAAGGGCGTGGGTACAGTTGGATATACGCGCAAATTAAGTTTATCAAGAGCCTGTTTTTCCTTGCATTTGTGATCCTAGTAGAAATTGCCGCTACATTTAATGTTAGGAGTGGTTAGTCGCATGGCACACACAAGAGGAAGAAGAGTGTTAGTCCAGCATCTCGATTTGGAGCCGGTTGAGTGAGTGTCCCCCTTCCTTCCACCCAACCCTTGCGTGCAGAGGCCCGGTGAAATAGAAAGGGGAGTGGAGCGAGTAGAAGCATGGAATATGAGATAAAAAGAGTGTCATTTATCTTTATTGATGAGTTATTCACAATACTTGCAGATACGAAAATGAATAGCCAGAGAAGCGTCCGAATGCCATCAGGCTGATAATAATTGGCCACGGCTTTAAAGTGGGACATCTCCTCAGTCCTGTCCTCCAAGAAGCATGGGGTTGCTCTCCGCGGGAATGTGGTGATATTCAATTAGTAATAATAAAAATCATTAGGGGGCGAGTTTATTTAGCCAATTAAGGGGGTTCAAATGGTAAACAAATAAAATTCAAGTTTTAGCCATACAGCAGGTGAATGAGACCGTTGCTATAAGTTGTCACGAACACTATTTAAGTAAATAGGGAAGACTCCTTTACCGTCGCTTGACTCCGGTGTAATTACGCTGTCGCTGTTTTCCGGTGGGATTGAGGCATTCTTTCGACTAAAAATAAAAAAAACAACGAGACTTTTATCGAATCACACTTCAGGCTTTTGTACCGTTATCGGTGGATTCGATGAAACTATTTTGACAATTATATAAACGGAAGTTCTCGCAACTTTTCAGTTTTAAAATTTTAAACTATGCGATTTCGATAAAAAAACGGTGGAAATGATGCGTCAACGAAGAGAATTTATTCAACGAGAGCAATAGCTGTAAATTCACCGAAATTAAACTGAACTAACGGCATTGCGTTATGCTGCTTGAGACTTGAGCGCACTTCATTTGTTCTTCACTCAAAGTTAATTGTCTGAGAAAAAAATTTGAAGTGATTTAATTCATCAACAGATTCAAGCTACTTCTTTAAGTAAAACGCATAATTCTCGGTATGAATTTCGCGCTACCTTGGGCCACATCCATCAAAGAGACTGTCACACTTTGAAGAGCAAAGCACATGGTAGTTGACTTTCAGTCACATATTCTACATAAAATCATCAAAGCAAATTTTTCAGACTATTTGTCTGAACAAAGGGATTAATAAGCATTTCTGAGGAAATGATAAACGTGCAGCATTCCAGTAGGATGGGTTAAATCGACATACATTAGCAAGAGAGCATCCAGTAATCACACCTTGGAATCACATCACACCAACCAATGTCACATTCACATACCGTAATTGAAATAGACACATACACTACCAATTGTCTTTTAAAAAAGGCCACGAGCCTGTCCAATAAATAAGTTGGAGGCCACGTTGACTCACCAGGCAGATAAGAACTTTCTCCGGCTCTCGTCAATTTTGTATTCTGATTTAACCTTCCTAAGCAGAACAGGAGGAGCCAAATGTGTGGGGGCATATTCGAATGATTTTAGGTGGTTGCCTTCCCTCCCAGTGAATGGGGATGGCAGGATGAATGATAGGTTGGCATGTGCTAGAGCTGGTCTCAGACCACTTCCCGCATTTGCGTTTCCGAGTTTTAATTTTTCGGCCTTCCTCCTTATCGATGAAAGACGCTGACCGAATCGGCCGAAACCGCTTCGCTCAGAAATTGACCCCGTAGGATGCAATCTGCAATCAGGATAATGCATTTTCCAGTACACTCTTTTTCACGAATTTTAATTCATCTTGTCCTTCGATTTGAGTATCTTAAAGCTGTTTGAGGACACTACTGTGAGTTGCGAACACACCAATCGCAAGATTAACATTAAAATGTTGCGATCCAGCGATCAATTTGACACGTCATTTTTTTGCAATCCTCCACATTCATTAAATGCGAAACAATAACGGCCTCAATTTCCTTGTTTCCAATTGCTGCAACGAAAAAAGTAGGCTTTATTTAGAACTTAGGATCGGAGTTCAATTGTAAGAATACCCTAGGGCACAGAGTCGTCGTCAATTGACCCCAGAGGTTGGGCACGCACAGATGCAACTGCATTTACTCACTACCACCAAGGAAACAGTTTGTATAATTGCGCTACTCAACATGACCATACGTCACGCCAATTTTACTAGTTTTAGAGGTAAAGTAATGACGGAAGAAGGGACAAATAATTATGCGGTTGATGTGGCGTGTGATAGGCAAGGTCGGAAGTAGAATTTCGTTTCAATATGTGGGCTAAAAATTTGGCCAAAGCGCTGTTGAGGCCAACCAAATGCATTTAAATCCAGTGTCACTAAGACAGCAAAGTGACATTTCAAACTTGTAAATTAAACTAATGGTGTGCAAACATTTTGCCTTATTTTGCTATGACCCTTGGTTGAAATAAAATGCAATTCCGTGACCACTGAAACAGATTTTCAGATTCGCTCAAAGTTTTGAAAATTTTTAACAATCCCCGAAAAAATCTTGTGAAGATCTGGACGTCATATTTGACTTTTGAATAGGAGGAAATAGGCGATTATTGCTTAACTCTTAATAAAATTAATAAGTCTGAAGGGGGTAGGTTTACAGCTCCAAACGACAATGTCTTTGGACGTTGAGCGAGCTTCAGGTGCCATGGTTTGAGTCACAACACACTAAGATTTATTTTCCGTACTGGATTTCTTGTTGCCTTTCGCGCACTGCGCATTAAGCCTACGACACTGATCGCACACAGTCAGAGGTGCAATAAAAAATGTTTCCATCGCACCGGTTCCTTTGCATAGGGCAAAAATTAGACTTATAGCCACAACCCACTTTTAACCAAAGTTGATTAACTTCCTGGACTTTTAGGGGATGAACCATTAAACTGCATCCCGCCCAGGTCAATTTTTTCGTGGTAAAGCTTAATTTAATTCAAGTTAAAGGGCAGTGACAGAAGAATGGTGGATTAATTTATTACTTCCATCTACGGATACTGCGACACACGTGGGAGAACAAAATAGAGAGGGCCTTAAGAACCCTAAATATGCTAAGGTTAATCAGCTCAGATGTAAGCTTGAGTGCAGACAGTTTTGGCTTTTGGTAATTTTATATGACTACTTCATTTTAGTGTCCAACGAATTTTGTATTTAATGGCCACGAATTTTTGCGAAGCACTTTTGACACTGCGCTTGGAGCACTGGACTTTAGTGACGTTTTACCTCACTTTTGATGAAGTATTTTTAGCATTAGAAAGTTCCCAGAAGGTGACGCAAATTTTGCTTCAATGTTGGGGTGATTTTAATGCGTGTAATTGCCACCGTGATGAGATTAATTGCTCTTCTACTCTGCCAAGAGTAAACAAACCACTAAACCGGCAATTTGTATTAGCTGAATAAAATCATAAAAGAGTTTCCAAGCTTTAAGATCCAACGATTAGCGTGCTTACAGTGGGTCGACGATGATTTGGGGTTTGTAAATGTTCCATGTGGCGACGGAAGTGGACTTCTTATCAGCAGCATAGCAGCGCCACATGCATTGGATGAGAGTGGCGGCTGGTACACGCCTTCGTATTAGGTGCTTCTGGCGTTGTTGCTGCTGCACCTTCAGGGCAAATCCACTACCCAGTATCCCCTGAGGTTAACAAGCAGTCTGTCATTGGCCTCAACCTCACTTATAACTTTATTCGTTTTAAAGCAGTTTATTATTAGGTTTATGTGCCCATATATAAATAATTCAGTTATTTGTCGTGACTAACTCAAGGAACTTGGTTGCCGTCCTTTTATAATCACAAGGATTGCCCTAACAAACGTGATGCGAGTATTCGGAAGCACCACAATTTTTGCCTCTCTAGGAAAGCTGGACTATGCGTTAGAACGGTTAATAAGCTTTAGATTGACGAGGCGAATATGCATTATTAATGCTTCTTTTACAAAGTGTGAATTCTATTGAAGTTCGCAAAGACATTGGGGACTTACGGCTGGGAGCGCAAAGAAAGATATTCCAGCAATGGCGCATAGAGCCGCTATAATTTTGCCTATCCAAGTCTTCGGCACCGTGTCGCCATAACCAACAGTGCAAAGTGTTATCTAAAGTGGCATAGAATGGTGTCAACGTTTAGCTTTGGATGCTGCATGTTCTACTTAACTGGTGATTTACAGTGCCTAGAGAGTCAAGTATTTTTCTGGGAAGCCAGAAAAATTGATAGCACTTGGTTGGCTGAATGAAGTCCCTCAGCACTTTAAAACTCCTACGTTGTGGTTTCGAATCTTGCTTCTTTTTGATGGATTAACTAGTTTTATGAAAACGAAATGAACGTTTCCGGTCAAATTTTCCGAGACAAATGATGCTTCAGAATTTCGTTAATAGTCCAGAGAAAGGTTATTATGAGTCTTTTCTATCAGGATGAGTATTTCATTTCCATTCGCATAATCGTTATTGCTTAGCATTCGCATCAACTTTATACGATGGGGTTCACAAAGGCTGGCTTTCACTGAGGCAGTTCCAAAGTAATAGCTAAGTTCTCAGCAATTTCCCTATAAAATATACTTAGACCATGAAGAGTATTAGTCATGAATCCATCAAAGTCGCCCGGGAAGTAACTTAGTCCAGAAAATATTTATTAATACGGATGGAAAAGACCATTCAACTCAAAACGACGATTTCATTTAAAGTTGTGATTCTTCTTCAAAAAAACAGCTGTGAGGCCTGAGGTTATTCAACTGCATTGCTTATGTTATCACTGATCGCAGTTAAACTGAAACGCAAACAATTTTTGTGAAGTCACCTAAATGGTGACAATGAAATTTACTGTATTACTTACAATACCCCACCAGAGAGCATCCGCAAAGCTTTGGATTTTTCTGTTGTCCTTTTTTTCCACCAAGTAAATGAGGAAAGAACCAAAAATAAGTGCCAGAAAGCCGATGTACATTGTCGTGAAAAGTTCCTGTTGAAAGACAAGAAACATCAAAAAATGAGAACTCATATGAGACTGATTCGAATGAAAATGAGGCTGCTTACATGAGGTTCCACTAAGTGAAGCATCTCAAACTTATGCAATGATAACACCCACCTAAACAGGTGACTCCCTCAACACTACAGAGCTGAAGGCTGTTCGAGTATTAAAAAGGAAATATGAAAGGTTACTAACATTACAGACGTGCTGTATTTCGGCAAGCGTAAAAAGTACATAACTGAGGTTTCGTGATAACCTTAGCGATGGTCTTCACTAGGACTACACGAAAGACAGGGGACCTTCCAACAATTGTAACGATTGTATATTCAGAAAATGTCACTTAAACATCTCGTCCACGACAACACATATGTCACTTGTGATTCATACGACAGAAGTTTAGGTCATACGCTAGTCTATTTAACTGATGGTTCTACGACAATTCAATTCCGTGGTTCCATGGGGTTGGTCACGTGGATTCGGAATTTGAGGAGCATCCAGACAAACCGACTAGATTTATGGAATTTAAACCACACTTGTATCTAATCTCCAAATTACGGAGGAGCACCGTTACTTTTCCACAAGCAACTAAATTAGAGTTGCTTAGTTAAAAAACCAGGATGAAATCTTCAGGACAGGATAAACATGGCCCATTACTGAACCTTATTTTTAAATTACTAGTGTAGCATGGTCAACGTTGCTTTGAAGTCTACTTATCAAGCTGACGAATCGTTAGGGGTAATCATTTGCATTCCAATTTGTGGCAAGAAGTTGTGTACTTTTGAATCACACACATAACGTGCATTTTTAATGCTCAAAATTGACACCACACCTATATTGCAAACTACTGCGTCTTAGAATCGCTCCTACCATGGAAGTGGTGGGGTGGACGAACAGTTGGATTGCCTTAAAGGAAAATTCTTTTAAGGCAAATGAGAGCGGAGAGCTATAATGGGTGTTTAAATCTCTGCTTCTCAAGACATTGGCGATATTTTTGGAATAACCCTACTTTCTATTTTGGTATCAATTTTCCACACTTGTGTTTTTTTGTAGGAAGTGAAGTTATCTCCTCACTTTGACAATTCAGACTTGAGCATACTAGACGAAGTTTCCAAAGTCCTACCTGACGATGCGCCCATACAACCGAAGCTAGAAGCTTGAATGATCCTGCCCTTCGATCGACACGTATCATTCGTAAGATTTGAAAGAACCGAAGGCCACGCAGAGCGCTTGCCGCATACACGTTGCTTGTATTGTCACTTGCAAGTACAATTACACTGGCCACGATTAGAATGATGTCTGTGTCCGGAAAGAGACATTTTTACATTAGTTCTCAGCTCCATGTTAGTTCTCCCATTTAGTGGATAATAGCACAGCAATTTACATTGGGGAATGTTAGATAATGTTCTTGAGCTGGTGCAAGCGCCAGCGCCAAATTTTCCGCTGTTGACGCTCCTTGCGCTCAACGAAAGGTTGCTAATGCCTGATTCCGTTACTCATTTGTGTGTCATAAAACTTTTGCATAGGAAGTAATAAATGGACACCTTTGGAGAGACGGAAAAATCTCATTTTTGTGCTCATTCTTAAAATGATCTAAAGGCCGAATTTGTACAAAGGCTAAGTTTCTTCTGTAAAAGTATTAAATTTGCTCAATCTACAGTGAGTTTAAAATGGTTGGTACCGTTAAAGCATCTTCCAGCCAATTCTATGACCGCAACACCCTTAGTGACACTCCTTTTGTGTAACACGGGCGACCAAACCTCAGAAAGGCAGTGCTCTTTCCGTCTGCAGAAGCATGTTATAGCAGTAAAGGAACGCTTCAGTGCGCTACCATAATACCGATGAGATTAATACCAGCGTGATCTCTCATACCTTGATAGTGGCACGTAGTGAGGTTAACAAAATAGTTCAATCCATCAAAACAGCTTAATCTGAAAAGTGCCTCTGTCCTATTTTGCCTGCCAACTTAGAAAGGTCGAGCAGAACAAGCAAGCCTTCCACACACACACGATGATATAACTCTGAGGTCATGGAGTGGTATACCCCAAATTTTGCGGACCGTACACACTTTCGAAAGACATAAGTTAGAATATTAGTGGCAAAACATCCCAACTCAATCTAATGAGTAAATTAATCAGTGCCTTCAGTTTGTGTATCAAAAATTACCAATAGGTTTCACCAAACGCGTCCAATTGCATTGTAAAATGTGAATAATATCGGTGTATTACACAACCTCCACTTGCCGGTGTTGTAGCTCAAATTTAGCTTATGGTGCTTTGTTCTGTTAAAGAAGATAAAATTAGTTAAAAATTTTGATCAGTCATTTAGGTTAATGTGGACAATTTGTGTGTCAAAAGCGAATTAAAACAGCTTTACCCACGATGCAGAAGGGGCGTCTAGCGAACCGAAGACGCCCTCGCCAAGTCTGGTAACGCGGTCTGCAACCAGCGCTCCACATGCGTACTATGTATTCAATAAAAAACCAAAATAACAGCACCAGTTCCTAAAAAAGAACAATAAATGCATGTTTAGTATAATGCCCTGCTGTGATTGATGAAACTGCCAATTGCGTGATATTGGAGATGGACACTAAAAACACAGCCACGCATCCGTCTGCCAACAACCTTTACTACGCTCTGTACCATTCGCCCACTCCTCTGACCTCACACCAAATACCACCCACACCTGGTCAATGCTGCTCAACCTCACCTCCTCCACACACCTACCAGCTTTAACATGATTCAGAGACCCCACAAACGCTTCAACAAACTCATGCAGCACTTGACGAGGGTCTGCCAACACAACACACAATTCCAAAGTGCCCTCGGTAACCGCCTTCGCTCTCGTGTCCCACCACCCAAAGTGAAATGCACCGTGTTCAGGAGGACCCACT